CCCCGAAGCGCTGGCGGTCGGACCCAGAACAGGTCTCAAGCTGGTTGATGCAGGGTTTAGGGTTTAGGGTTTAGGGTTTAGGGTTTAGGGTTTAGGGTTTAGGGTTTAGGGTTTAGGGTTTAGGGTTTAGGGCACCAGGTCGTGGGCACACACGGGCACCCTGGCCGCCTGCTTCTCAAGACCACTGTCCACAACCAAGCGGACACCGTCGATGGTCACGGAGGTCTCCGCCACATTGGTGGCAAAGATGATCCTTAGGGTTTAGGGTTTAGGGTTTAGGGTTTAGGGTTCAGGGTTCAGGGTTCAGGGTTCAGGGTTCAGGGTTCAGAGTTCAGCACCTCAAGTTCGAGCATTTACTAGGCCAGCAGTGTGTAGGCAACGGAAAAAAGAAAACCACCCGCCCAAAGAATCCCATAACAGTAGGAAAATATAAAGTTCAATCATTTCTGTTCAGACGCACCAAGAGGCTAAACAATCACACGGGTCAGACGGGTCAAAACGCCAAATTCGTGCTGAACAATGGGGGGCCAAACGGGTCAGACGGGTCAAAACGCCAAATTCGTGCTGAACAATGGGGGGGCCAAACGGGTCAGACGGGTCAAAACGCCAAATTCGTGCTGAACAATGGGGGGCCAAACGGGTCCGACGGGTCAAAACGCCAAATTCGTGCTGAACAATGGGGGGCCAGACGGGTCAAAACGCCAAATTCGTGCTGAACAATGGGGTCTAAATGCCAAATTCGTGTTTAACATTTAGGGTTATATGGTAGAGAGGTTTGGGGTTTAGGGTTTACGGTTGAGGGTTTAGGGTTTAGGGTTTAGGGTGTAGGATAACTGTACTTATAACCCACTTAAAAGCCCCTCAAGTGCCCTAATATGGTTACCGTTTGGGTTATAAGTGCAGCCAGAATTGGTTAAGAAGTACCATGAACCTTCAAGTACTTGAGCCTCTTACCAATCTCGCTCCGCCCCTCACCTCAACTTAGCTTTCCGGAACTCTCCTTTGCGCGCCAAGGGTCTTCCGCTTCCCGTTGGTCAGCTTCTGGAACACCGGCGCCTGCTCATCTGGATCTTGACCTCCGTGAAGCGCGAAAACCTGCACTTGAGCGTGGTGGTGATGTGGTCAGATTTGGGTATCGCCTTCGCAGCATCGGTATTCCAACAAACTTGCATGGCTGCTTTATCGTCTGAATGAAATGTGGCGGTCTGTACCCCTGTGTACCTTTATCGCTGCTTGCAACGCTTCTCTTTTCACTTTCTTGAAGCAAGTCAGACCGAAACATGAAAAGAGTCAGAACTGGAAAATGTGACACATCAGCACAAGGTCTGCGTTTGCTTATGCTGCTGTCGCCAGTCGAAGTGACAAGCAATCAGTTTTGCGTTTGCATCTGCTGATCTCGCCAGTCGAAGACTCCAGCGCCTGCCGCGTCGACCTTGTGGGACAAGGAGAAATGCTGGCCCCGATGGTTCATGGGCGATGTGCCCCGAATGCTCACGCGCTGCACGATGCGCAGCTCACTGACGTCGTCCGCCAAACCTTTGTGCGAGAGGGAGCGGTTGTCCCACATGACCACCTGGTTTGGCTGCCATGAGACACGGGTGCAGAACTCCGGTCGCGCACACCACTCGTAGATGAAGCGAAGGATGCTGCGTGACTCAGCCAAGCTCATGCCTTCAATGTGCGTCGTGAAGGTTGGGCTCACGAAGAGGTTGCGACGCCCCGTGCGCGGGTGGACCGTGACGATTGGTTGGAGCACATCCTTCTGCAGAATCGGGGCATGAGGCTTCCACTGCATGGCATGGGCGCCGCCGGCAGTCTTCTCCATGGCTGCACGCGAGTTGCCTGGATGGCCCAAGCCATAGGCCTCAGCAGAGATTCAGATGCCTCTTCAACGTTGTTGATGGATGATTGCGTGTATTTCGTCCATGGCTGCCCTGTAACCTTTATAAACCCTTTGCTTCCTTTGCCAACTGTTCGCGACTAGAACACTACCACGGGTTCGGCCTTGTTGGCCGAGTGGTACGCGTTGAGGTCCAAGAGCAGGCGCTGCATCGCTGGTGGGAGCAGGTCGTAGGCTGCCTCGGTTGAGGAGAAGAGGGTGTCGTTGACTCCAAGCCGCGGGACGACCCAGCCTCGCAAAATGCTGTAAGAGCACGTCTTCTCCATGAAGCTGTTGTCACTGTGCCAATTCTCGCCAAAGACGACGGAAGCTGTCGGCTCACGCACGATCTCAAGGACCTCAGGGGCATCCTTGTGTCCCTCGGCCACGGCGTGTGGCTCGATGCATGTCTTGTCTGAGTCCGCTATGAGCTGCCCAAAACGAACCTGGTCCTGGACGGATAGGTCGGGACTCTGATTGGTGAACACCAGGATACCGCCTGCATCATCACTAGCCTGCTTAATGGCCTCAATCTCCTTTGGAGAGAATTTCCGCCTGAGGTCTACATCTGGCAATTCCCGTCCCAAGCCATCAAAGGTTGCGGCCACCTCCTTTCCCGTAAGCTGATCGATGACGCTCGGTCGGAGATCGTGTGGTTGGATGAGTGAGCGGGCGCGCAGCAACAGCTGCGGGCGAGACCATCGACTTGCTAAGGCCATGAGGCTCCTCATGGTCATGGAGTAACCCTAAACCCTAAACCCTAAACCCTAATCCCTCACTTCGAAAGATGACCGATGGCCTCGCTGCTTTGCTCGAGCACGACCCAGACCCGAGGCATCCCCCAACATCTCAGGGTACAAACGAGTATGACACTAGGTTGCCCAGTAACCTAGGATGAAAAAAGGGTGCCCTCGTTTGCTTAAAGGGGTTTGTAAGGGAACTTAAACCGACCAAAAAGGGAATAAGGGTGCTACTGGGCATCCTAGATGATTAAATACACGGTAATACCCCCTTGGCTTCATACGCCACTCTTCCCAGGCATTGATTTGGCCTTCTTCACCCAAAGCCAAGGGCAAACCCACCACCTAGGCATCGAGCTGATCATTGCAATTCGGGTTCTAGAAGCCCCCAAAACTCAGCAACCCAGAAAACCCATATCCCAGGCATCGAGCTGACGGCTTTGATTCCCTCATCCTAAAGTCCTTGAAGCAAAATCCTAGAAACGAGACCCATTTCCAAGCCTACATACGTGGGATTGCGGAGTGTTGGTGAACTTTAATATTTGTGATGCATCGAATGTGTGTTTCTGCCAAAGTCCCGTGCACTTTCGCGCTGCCCCCACCTCGGTCCCATGTGCACATCCCTTCTCTCAACCCCGCACCAGACACCCATCCCTGCGACGTGGACTTCAAAAAGCCGAACGGCCCTGAACACTTTTCACACAAAACAACGACACCCAACAAACCACAACGCCCCAAACACCTACCCGTTTGGTGCTTGGCAGCAGAGAAAAGCAAAAAGACGTAAAAGCAAAAAGACGTTGGCCACTGACACTCCCTGTGTTGACTGAACGTTGCACAACTTGAATTGAAACCCGAAGACCAAATTAGAACCCTATATACCTAAAAAATCAAACCAAGTAGACTTCAGCAGGAGCCGCGGCACTGTTTCATAGAGGAAACGATCGAATGACTTTTGCAGGTCTCTACAAGTGGGCTCCTAAGAAAGCCCCAGGCCCGCCAAGCCCTCAACTCCTAAAACGGTCCTAAACCTCTCCGAAGCGAGATGAGGTTGAACCAGACAGCGGGGAAAGGAGAAGCTTCCCTTTGCACAAGAAGGCTGCTTGCGCTCGTCTCGGATTCAAGCGGTCAGAAAAGTGCCCATCGTTGAGCCTTGTGCTCATAACATGTCTAGCAAAAGAGGCCCAGGGAAAAACCGCTTGTGGGCAAAACTCTGGGCCTTACAAACGCCAGCCGCTCGCCTCCCGAGACGGGTCCCACAAAAACCTCCGCCCCAACATCGCACCTCATTCGGCATCTGAATCGGCATTCGCGGGGCAGTCGCTTTTTGTCGACTCCATCAAACATTCCCGCACGTTCACCCAGCGACTGGCGCAGCCACTTGCTAGGTGCAGCAGAAGGCTCAAAGACACGAACGTGATTTGTGTGAGGGCAAAAACATGCTGCCCCCCGAGCGAGATGGCGAGCCGGGCTGAGATGGGCCCGAAGCCTCTCCCCAGGAAATCCGCCATGACTAGGCCCAGCAGTGTCAGTGTGTTCCTGAGGGTATGCCGTCGACCCTAAACAGCCCAAGGGCCAATTCTTTGGATCCTTTAAGGAAAGCGAGAGGGGCCATCAAGGTACCCCTAAACCCTAAACCCTAAACCCTAAACCCTAAACCCTAAACCCTAAACCCTTACAGAGAGTTCCGCAGTTCGGGGCAGCACCTGACCCCAGGCCTCATCTTCGACGCCCTAAACCATTCTCAAAACCGCGTATATCCGTGTGGCTTTCTTGAGAACGTGCGGGGGCTCCGGGGGTTTAGGGTTTAGGGTTTAGGGTTTAGGGTTTAGGGTTTAGGGTTTAGGGTTTAGGTTTAAGGTTTATAATTTAGGGTTGAGGGTTTAGGGTTTAGGGTTTAGGGTTTAGGGTTTGGGGTTCAGATATGTTCAGCCAACCCAAGTGTCCGGTCGAGCAGTGAGCCGTCCGGCATCGCATGTTCCTGCATCGTCCTCGGGTGGGGCGTAGGGTCCCGTAGGGCTACAAAGGTCACACTCGGCTACACAAACTGCAGGGATACCATAAACACGGACAACGGGGGCGCAATGTAGCGAAGCAAAGAGCGCTCCATGCCCCTCTCGCCCCCCAGATGGTATTTCACACTCTGTATAGAACTTTGTAAAAAAAAACACAACATAGAGTAACACAAAGAGTAAAACATAGAGTAAAACATAGAATAGAGTTCTGGTTCTTCTAGGGCTAACACCAGGCTGCGCCATGACCAGGCCACTGCTTAGGACCATCATCGGGAAGAACACGAGGGCAGCAGAGTACAGCACCGCGAAGTTCTCGCACAGCAGCAGGCAGCCGCCGGCCAAGCCCATCCACAGCATGGTGCCCAGGGAGAGTCGGAACCTCTCACTTGTCTCGTAGAGCAGTTGAATAGGCAAGGTGACGAACACGACGCCGGCACACAGCAGGCCGGCAGCCAGATGATCAAACCTGTAGTGTGTCTGTGCGAGCTGGGCTACGCCAACCTCCAGCGAGGACAAGCACAAGTTCCTGAGAACCAGCATAGCCAGGCACAGGCACACAATCAGCACCTGCGCGCGCGAGGCTTCTTGAGGAGCCTTGCACTCGGCCACATGATCCAGGGAAGGGATCGGGCGCAGCAGCAGGCTCACTTGCATCCAGGGCGCAAGGGCCACAAAGGCCAGCATGCCTTCGAAGCCATCCTGACCTTGGTAGCTATTATGATTTTGATTATTATTATTATTATTATTATTATTATTATTATTATTATTATTATTATTATTATTATTAATATTATTACCACTATTATTATTCTTATTCTTATTTTAGAAGGGAACCCATAACCAAAAAAAGGGGTAAAGGGTACCACTGGGATACCAAGTGACCAAAGGGCTTCGGCGGCGAACAGGTCGCAGCAAGCGAGCTAAGTAATGGCCCAGCACCCATGCCTACGCAGCCGGCCACATAGAACCGCAGGTTGTACAGCGCCCGCTTTTTGCCAGCGAGGCGTGCTGCTTGGGTGAAGGCCAGGCTGATCTGAAGGCAGGCACAAAACTGTTGCTGAAAGTTTCAGGTTTCCATGCAAGCCTTGCAGTTTCAGGTTTCCATGCACCTTGTGGCTCGGATCCCTTCCCAAAACCCAAAACGACACGCCCAAAAAAGAATCCACGACCTGAAGTCCGCCGCCCAGTCCCATGAGGGGTCGCGCCAACACCAGCCCTGCCACGCCAGTGTCTCCGAAGAAGGCACGAACTGCGAAGGCTCCGGCCGCAGTGATCTGCAGCAGCACACCAGTGGAGTACACGGCCCGGGTTGCCCGCCAGAACTCTGGCGAAGCCTGATAGCTTCAGAGGCGGGGGCCGGGGGGCGGGGGCTTGAGAACCTCCTACAAACAGCAGGCCTCTGATTACACTAATTGCGTTTAAAGACTTATAACTTGTAACCTAAGCTAAAATACTCACAGCCCGCTTTAGGGCCCTTGTCAACTTATTACTAAGGGTGGCCTCCTTGTAGCTGCTCCCACAAACCGAATGTTGGAGGCATCCGTTACAAGTTGTTGGTCCCAGCCGGGCTTGGGTGAAAGTCTCACGAAGAATGGAAACTGAAGCTCAGGAACCGTTTCAGGAAACCCTAAACCCTAAACCCTAAACCCTAAACCCTAAACCCTGAACCCTAACATGCGGAAGTATTGATAAACCTACGAGCTCCTTGGCAAAATGAAGTCTGGGATCATATGCAGCAGCTCAGAGGGGCCTCTCAGCACTCTTTCAGGGCAATGTGACAGCCTAAAGTGCTGCCTCTCCAAGAGCACCGTTTCGGGGACAGCTCTGCACTTTTGCAACCTGGGTTTAGGGTTTAGGGTTTAGGGTTTAGGGTTTAGGGTTTAGGGTTTAGGGTTTAGGGTTTAGGCTTTAGGGTTTAGGGTTCAGGGTTTAGGGTTTAGGGTTTAGGGTTTAGGGTCCCTACATCGTGGCTCCCCCAGGCTCCAACACGCGTAACAGTCCCCTAAAACCTCAAGAACCTGCTGTGGTCTCGACTGCGGCCCGATTTCCGTAAGCTTTTTGTTAAGTTAAGCTTTTTGCTAAGTTTCGTAAGCTTTTAAGCTTTTTGTTAAGTTAAGCTTTTTGTTAAGTTCCGTAAGCTTTTAAGCTTTTGTTAAGTTTAAGCTTTTTGTTAAGTTGCTTCCAGCTGCAGCCCAGTACATGGGACAACTTCTAGCAGTTTACGCACATATTACATCTTCAAGCCTTAAGCACATGTACGCGCATGTGCCATGTGTTTTCATAATTTCTTTGCATGACTCGCACATCTTCAAAGAGCGCCTTCAGGGACAGGAAGACCACAAAGGTGCCCAGAGCCGTGCCCATCTTATGGCCGCCCACCAGGCAACCCGAGACCCAGGGGTTGGCATGGAAACGATCCGCCAAGGCGTAGCTGTGGACCAGGACCAGCGTAAAGAGGAAGTTGTCCTCGGAGTTTAGAAGGGTTTAGGGTTTAGGGTTTAGGGTTTAGGGTTTAGGGTTTATGGGTTTATGGGTTTATGGGTTTTGGGATTCTGGCCTTGAAGGGCCTTGTCGAGTGGTGAATTATGTAGTGGATGCCTTTTGTTTTCGGGCGGCTGGCTTATCAGGACAATTCAGCACACGTCCTGGAAGTTCATATAGACAGCTAGTGCCATGGTGTAGGGGACTGGGGCCGCGTCCACGACACACTTGAAGGCCAGGAACAGAGTAGACGCACCTAACAGCGCCAGAGCCAGAGCTGGCATGTACGGAATGATTGCATCGACTGCCAGGCTGTTTAGCTGGATCTGAAATTGCTTGGAGGAAGCCTGTCTCGGTTCCAGCTGCAGCAAACTTGTATTGTCTT